TAAGATGTCCCTAGAACACAATGGCTGGCTGATATTAACATTGTATTCAGTGCTTTAGGTGTACAGAAAGACCAAGTAAACCAAAAATACTTGCTGCTTTGCTGTATAAAGCTAATATCAAGTAATTCAAATGTGATGAATATTATCCCGAAAGAAAAATATTTTTTTCAAATGTAGTATCTTTGCAATCCTAAATTTCTGACCTCTGTAAAGTGCTCTCTCCTGAAGACTTTACTCTTAAAGATGCCCATTTTGTAAATTTAAGCTGATCAGAAAAAATGTGATTCCTGTGGCTGAAGATCTCAAAGTGCTGGAAGACAAGAGAAAATATAGCTCTATCCTGAATTTTACTAAGCAGAAGGACTAAGTCACCCGATAAAAACATTTTATAGTTACCTTTAATGCCTGGATTTCTGAGTAAAAGTTAAAGAAATCAAAAAGATATGATAATGCACAAAATGAAGAATAGGTAACAACTATCAATATTTGGAACCATATAGAAGTGTAAGACTTTTTTGTTATACTATAATATCTTTAATAACTTTTGTGATTCACGATTTCATCATCAAAGTCATAAGAATAAGGCTTAAGATCATAAGAATCATAAGATTCTCATTTGCTTGGGGATTATGTGCCTTTCTCCCCATGTGGTTCTTTCCACTTTCCAAATTCTCTAACAAAGGAATTTTGAAAGTTTATTAATCTCTCAAGTTTATTACCCATTTCTGCTTAAATAAAAGTGAAACAGAAACAGAAAGAACATCAAAATTTAGAATAACAGGAGAGACACAATCCAGAAAGGAGGATGCTGATTAAAAAGAAAAAGAAACTTAGATCTGATTTCAGTGTGGCGAATAACCCAAATATTCACTGCTATTAGTTCAATTATGTCATTTATTCAATAATTATGTTATTAAAAGTACTCAGTGTCATCTTGATATAACCCTACCTGAATATCTCGGCTCACATTCAGGTAGAGTTATATCAAGATGCATGCCAAGACTCAGAACTGAGAATAAACCATGGTGGTTGTATCTATTTATTAGACATCACCATGTTACAAACCACCTCAAAGCTTAGTGGCTTAAAACAACTCTCCCCCAACCCCACCGGTCCACCAAGTTATTGGCTTGGTGGAGTGTTTCTGCTAGACATTGGTGGTCAATCATACCGTCTTCGGATCAGGTAGCTGACCTAGTTGCTTTGTGTTAGATTCTCTCTGGGACCTCCATGGGAAAACTGAGCTTACCTGGCTCTGCTCCAGTGGTCTCCCATCTTCCAGCACAGCAGTCTGTTCTTGTTCTCATGATTAAGGCAAAGGTCAATGTCCATCACCTCATGAATTCGAATTGGAGCTGGTACACTCCATTTTTATTTCTTCCATGTGCTGTTGATAAAAACAGGTCAAAAGTTAGTTAAGATAAGCCAAAGCATGGAGAAATAGACTCCACTGCTTGAAAAGAAGAGCTGCAAAATTACATTGTTAAAAGTGTGGGCAGAGGAAAGGGGTGAAAGAATTTAGACCACACAGTGGTTTCACTTGGGGACAGGAAGGAACATAGAACCCAAATTCAACTTCAAACCAACTCAACTAAGATGATGCAGTTTACCAAGTAAATAAAGTCACAGGAAGCAAAGCACACAGACATCCTCCCCACCATTCAGACAACAATGTCTTTGGGATCATAAGGAGAAGCTATAACTCAGGAAACAGCACAGATCAGCAGACAGCACTGAGACAGCTGGCAAGGCAGGTAGTATTAAACCTCTTGCTAATCCCTGCCTTTTCTGTGATCTGTAGTTAGGGGGTTCTGAGCCTTAAGGTTGAGAATGGAGATGGTAGTTTTCAATAAATGATGTTTTATTGCAGAAAAGTCCTCTTTACTTGGCGGACCATGATGCCTAGATCTGATCTCTTTCTATAAACTCCAATGATTTCAAAACCACATTTTTTATTTAGTTCTCATCAGTTCTTGCTTCCCTTCTAACAAAATATCCTTGATCTCCTTCATTACATATAGAATGATTCATTGTTGTGTTATCAGTTTAGATACATCTTGCTGAGAGCGTAGTTTCAATAGTGAAGAGAAATGAGAGTCAAAGTCAGCCATACTCCTACGATTCCATTATGACTCAAGAGGGCACCCACCAGCAGTTTTATTCATTATTACCTGTTAAAATCAAACAATTTAATATGCAACAATGTAATTCTCCAAATTGAAGCCCATCTGTGCATTCTTGTAGATGTTTTCATAGCATGATACATAGATAATTTTAATAAAATATTTTTGGCAGTCTATCTCTTTCCAACCCCCCCCAAAAAAAAAGAGAAAAATGTTTGCATTATCTTGAAGTCCCTTGGAGCAATACTAACTCTTTTCTCACTTGAGATCTTTTCGTTTTTTGGTGTTTTTTTGAGAGATTTTTGCTAGATCTTTTTGATTTTTGTTTTTTTGAGAGATTTTTTGCTATAGGGCGTGTGTGCTCGCCAGACAGAGAGAGATAGAGAGACAGAAAGCAAGAAATCACCACCCAGGGGGGATGGCCATGCTGCAATCCCTTCTCCTCCCTTCTCCTCTCGGGATCTTGGGCACGCACGCACACGCGCCTGGCATGAGTTTTAAGCCACCAGGTCTGGGACGCGAACCGTGGTTGACTACATTAGAGTCCAGCGACATAGCCATTACGCTAACTGCTGGTCCCCCTAACTTCAGATCTTTTAAGAGTTTGTTGGGCCAACCATGGAGAATTAAGTCATCAATTTTAAAGACTTACCTGCTGCTCTAATGTAGCCCTGAGTGTCTGTCTCAAGACATAGGTCCTTTTTCTCCCTAGTGCATATCTGAGCAGATTTCCAATAGCTCCATCAGCCTTTATACTTTTCTGATCAAAACCTGACTAAGCTCCTACTAATTCTGGTCTCTGAACCTCTGCACTTTCAATTAGATTTCCCTTCTCTTATTATAAATACTAGTAAAGGGGAATTTAGAAATGGAAAACATAGTCTGAGTGGACTTCCAGTGAGATTCTTAAAGAAACTTCAAAGACAGTACAGCTCTGCTGCTAATTCCTGCACCTCAGTCACTATTATAAAACTTAGAGACCTGTTTAATCCCGTCCCATACCCACTGGCCAATTTTCCTTTTGTTCATGTCCCATTTCAAATTCTAGAACATTCTACTCAATATGCTTTCATGAATGAGTGGAGGAAGAAAGATCATAATAGAAAATAGTTTCCAGAAGAAACAGATCTAGTTAGAGTTTTAGAGGTTACTCAAATCTCTCTATGCCTTCATATTCAAATGAAGTTTAACCTTGTATCTACTTCATAAGGTTGTGTGAAAATGAAATGAGACAGAACAGTCCAGTTTTCACATTTAACTTTTAATACAAATGAAAATTGTTATTGTGTTAAATAAAAAATATAGGAGGTCCTTGTTTTGGACTATGTTCTAGGTCCCAACAGATGAGACCAAAATGTAGTCATTCATGCTAAAATGCCACATCAACGAACTGAAGATGATAGATCCCAATTTATTTTTTTCTAAAAACAGGCAATTTCAATCTACCAGAGTCAGTGCTATAAGGAAATATAATGAGGTACATCTTACAGCTTTCTTAGAAATGTGCTCCTGAAATAGCTCAAGATGCTACCTAGACTCATTGGACTGTTTTATGAACATCCTTGTTGTCAAGTACATTCCTCCTTTACCTTCTATCAGTCATGCCTATTAGTTAAAAGCCTCAAAATCTCTCAGTTCCAGTAAGTACAGTCTTACAATCTTACAGTGTAAGACTCACCATCTCGATACTTTCAGCCAAGTGACTAGGAGTGACCATACGTGATCATGAGGTCATCCTGTTTTCTTATGGAAGTCAGACAACCACTGCTGTGCAAGGCACCTTTTTACTTCCTCCTTCTATTTACAATGTTTGCCTTTAAAATCATCACGTAATCTGGAAGACCTCAGAGTGTAATGTTCAGGGTAAGTTGATTATTATGTTTTCAGTGATGGTGCTCTATCCTGGCCCAAATAAACTTTGTCTTTCTTAGTACCAGGAGTTCACGTGCTTGCATGAGAGAGGAAGAGAGGGAGAGACACAGAAGACACACACACAGAAAAAAGCACCCCTTTTCCCCCATGGGACTTAGTCACATCACAATCCTTTTATCTCCAATTCTCCATCCTGTCAGGATCCTGGCTACCTACGCACACACCCAGCATGTTTTCTAACTTGACAGAGCTAGGATTCAGACCCTGGTCAGCCCCTTGGATTCAGCTACTTCTTGAAGCAACTAACTGCTATGTTATGGGGCCAGCCCAGATAAACTCTTTTGCTTTATTTACTTTGCCTCAGCATTTCTCTTAAGTTGGCATTTGCCACTAGTATAAGGAAATGATTCATTCACTCTTCAGATCTGTCTTAAAGATAACAGAATGTCAACACCAGAGAGAAGCAACACTTACTGTAGGACTTATCATTAGTCAAGAACAGTTACAACCACTTTGCATTTGACACTCACAATAATGTTATGAGGTAAATACTGTTATTACTCCTATCTTGCACATAAGGAAACTACAGCAGAGTCCAGCTGAGGTCAAGGACAAGCAAATTGCAGGGTTAAACTCTAACCTAGGCAGTCTGGTACCAGAGGCTATTCTTCCAACCACCAGATCATGTGCCTACTGGAAGGAAATTTCCCTCAAGAAAAGAAGAATGCCACAGTTATAGATTTCTCCAGTGGTTATATAGTTCTACTTAGGGGTGTGGCTTATTGACTAACTTGGGTATTTCAAAAGAGTTTCATTGCTGCTTTAGAATGTGAAAGTCCTCAGAGTCAGAGATAATGTGTATTGTTTTCCTTGAGCTTAGTACAACTTTTTGTGTGCTGTGGCTTTACAGTGGGTCTTATTGTCTTCTTTGCTCTTTCATTTTCCCACAGGGCTTGAAAGAACTTTAAACAAGTCCTGGGGGCTGAAAGTTAAACAGACTCTTGGACTGAGGCTAGAGTCATACTTTGGTAAAAAGCTGTTGTCTTAGTAAGTCAGAGTCCTCCGAGAGAACTGCTGACTTTGTTGACTGATTGGACCTCCTGGCACAGTTGGTAACCATGTTAGTGACACGCTATAGACTGATATGTTGTATACAACTGTTAGGTTTTCTTATACCACAATGGGTGTGTGTGTGTGTGATATAAGTCTCCTATTTCTTTAGGAGACTTATAGGAGTGCATAGTATTTTTGAAAAGAATTATTTAATTTAACTTTATTTATTTAGTCATTTTTAATTAGATCAGAGAGGGACAGAGCAAGAGCAAGACAGAGAGAAAGGGAGAGAGAGAGAAAGCAAGCTACCAGGTCTGGGACTTGAACTGCGGTTGGCCATGTGAGAGTCCAGCGTCCTTAGCCACCATGCTGGCCCTAGTATTTGTTTTTAATAAAATACTATCAGTGAAAAAAGTAAAAAAAGAAGAACCATGGCTTGGTTTCCCTCAACTTCCCTGTGGCGTTCTCATTAGCACTTCTGAGGCAACAAAGCACTTGTCCATGTAAATTCTGTCCTGCATTCTGGAGCACAGAATTCATGTCTGGAGATTTCTCTTTTTATTTTTTTTGGAGAGGTTTTCACTATAGGGTGCATGCTCTCGCCAGCCAGACAGAGAGAGACATAGAGACAGAAAGCGAGAAATCACCCCCCAGGGGGGATGGTCACGCTGCAATCCCTTCTCCTCCATTCTCCTCTCAGGATCTTGGGCACACATGCACACACGCCCGGCGTGAGTTTTAAGCCACCGGATCCAGGACGCGAACCGTGGTCGACTACGTGGGAGTCCAGCAACATAGCCATTACGCTAACTGCTGGTTCCCATGTCTGGAGATTTCTGAATGATGCTATCCATAGCTTCCAGCCTCCTGCTTGCACTGCTGGGAGCCCCATTTGTAAGCCAATGGGTTCCGATGTCTCTGAAAGTTGATAAGTGAGAACCAGCCCAAAGAGAAGCCAATGGGAACTCAGAGGGGAGAGACCACTAAGTCGTTTTCATTCAGTAGAATATATTTTTGTTGGAGATTTTGGAAATGTTTTATTAAGTTTTAGAAGTAAGGAAAATATTGTCCTTATAGAAAATTGGGGATAATGCAGATGGCATAATGTATATTAATGTAACAGATAGAGGGTTTACTGTAAAAACAGATACAATGCCATTTTTTATTCTAATGGCTCTACATAAAATAAAGTTCATGATATAAAATGAATTTAGTATTTCAAGAATCAAACCTTTTCTCTCTGACTTTATTTTCTGTTCTGATAAGATAGATATTTGCTACAGGGCACCTACACTCTATGGAGAGACAGAGATAGGAAACGAGAAATTACTCCCCAGGGGGATGGGCCACATGCAATCCCTTTTCTTCCAATTCTCCTCCCAGGATTTTGAGCACACACACACGTACATGTGGCTTGAGTTTCAAGCTGCAGGGTCCAGGACTCAAATCATGGTAGGCCATGAGAGTCCAGTGACATAACCATTATGTCATCTGCTGATCCTCTGACTTTTCAATGTAACACATGACATCTGTGAGCAGAATGCAGTCTTTTTTTTTTTTTTGGTCATAGGGCATATGTGCTCACCAGAAAGACAGAGAGACAGAAAGCGAGAAATCACCCCCTGGGGGAATGGCCATGCCGCAATCCCTTCTCCTCTATTCTCCTCTTGGGATCTTGGGCACACATGCACATACGCCTGGCATGAGTTTATGTCACTGAGTCTAGGACTCGAACTGTGGTCGACTACATGGGAGTCCAGTGACATAGCCATTACGTTAATTGCTGGTCCCCGGAATGCATTCTTGACTACACTAGTAAATGCTCTGATCTTTAAGGTCTGTTTGGGCTGCTCTGCTTGGATTCTTATTAGATAAGTAATCCTGTGGAAGTTATTTAGCTCTTTCCTAATCTCAGTTTCTTTACCTATAAAATAGGGCAAATAATATTTCTACCCATTAAGGTTATTTTGATGACTAAATCAGATATGATACATGGAACACCCAGAAATAAGCAGTTGTTAACCTAATACATGCTACTATGTTATCTGATATTTAGATACTGTCCATTCACTAAAATATGAATACCATGAGGATAGAGGTTTTGATTTGTCCACTGATACACCACAGACATTTAGAACAGTGTGTAGCACATAGTAGTAGTTTAAAAAATGTTGAATTAATGAGCATTTGAAGTAGTTTGGTCAAGTTTGAGCTTTATAGCAGGTCTAGTAAGGACTGGATTTTATTTTGTATTAGCTGAAGAGATGCAAAACTTCCACATAGAGCTGCAGAGTAGTGTCACTGTAGAGCCAATTTCTAGTTCACATCATGTTATTCTTGCCTTTTCTTCTGTTTTCCCTTTCTTCTTCACTTTTCCTTTCTAGATCGCCTTTGTATTTCTTATTGATCCAGTGTTTATAAATTATCAGCCCTTATCCTGCTGTAAGAATGGTGATGTTTTGTCTAGCTGCCTCCTTTTCACAGATGATAATGTCAATCAATTCTGAATTGGAAGGAAATTGACTAACTTTCTTACTACGTAGAAATATTAGCTTATTGAGTCCATAGGAAAACAAAATGAGGTATAATGCAATTATTGCTTCTTCCTGCTGTGATCTTTGGGTTAAAGTTATCCAGAGGACAGTTTGAAAGAAAATGTGGGCATCTCACCAATGCAACACTGATTTTCCAGAAAGGATTGTAAATAATCCCCAGTAACGGTAAAAGATATATCTAGAATTAGTCTGAATTTGGTCTTGCAACACAAAGATTGGCACATCTGATTTTTAGGAAAAGAGAGAAATTGGTAATAGTGTATAAGCTTTATAACTTGAAAGACTGAGTTTCATGGATCTGTGGTCATAAATTGTAAAGTGGTGGCAATAATTCTACAAGGATATCCGCATTTTTTGCAAGGATTCCATTTATGTAAGGTATGGCATAGCTCTCAGGATCTGAGCCTAGATCTGAGGCTGATTATTATTTAAAAAAATACGAGACTATGCACACACACGTGGGTGTGAGAGACAGAGAGAGAGATGAATAGAGCATCTTCCACATGGCCTAGCCACACTGCAATCCTCACCCTCTGGTCACCTAGCCTGTTGGATCTTGGGAAGCTAAGCATATACCTGGAGTGTTTCAGTTCTTTTTTTTGAAAAAGGGAATTTAAGATGCCCACTCCAGGGGCAACCAATTGGCATCATAGTTAAGGCAGCAGGATCCTACATATACTTTCTCTCTCTCTGTCTCGGGTGAGTGCACGTGCTTTGAAATAAGTAAAATAAAACAAATAAGTAAACAAATAAAAGATGCTAATATCTGATTCTGGCTATGACTTGTCAAGATCTCTTACTCAAAACAGATACTAACATTTGCTGTTCTCACTAGGGATGCCTCAGACTGCATGAGCCATATTACTTGTCAAGAACGGACAGGAAACTCACTGTATTTATCTTTCTACTAGCTTCTGAAGTTATGTTGCTGATATTGAAATGTCAGTCCCTTGACCTTTGAATGCACAATGGAGCCTCAGAGGATATTTCAAGCATTTGAAAGAAAGTCGTGAAAATCTGGTAGTAGGGGGAAAAAAAGGTGTTGAACAGTCTTTGAGGTTAATGTAGCACTGTATTAAAATAGCAGTCTGTGTTCCTGAAGGTTTATCTGAAGCAATTTAGGTGCATTGTAGGTTAATGTAATTATGTCTTGGAATTTCTGAATATATAGTGATACATGACTTGAAAATAAGTTATTTTCTTTGGGTTAGATATTTTTGAACTTCTTAAGAACATGTGCTTGAAAAGTACCCTTTAATCTGTGGACACTCTGATGAAGAACCCTGCCTTTTCAGGAAAATCCAGGACCCTAGACAGTATTATTCTAGAAATATCTTAATGACTAGAAAAACATTTTTACATCTCACAAACTTGAACTAATTAAAATGAACACGATCGTAACTGGGTGAAAGGCAAATGCACTTTTAAATGGTAATTAGCAAAATTTATATTCCAGGGCAAAAATGAATATGGTCAAGGAAATGAGGCTTATCAGGTCTTTCCACTTGCCTCACAAATCTTCTGTGAATTAATAATCACTGACATTTTTATGAAACAATGTCATTCTCAGCACTAATCTCTGCTTTCCGCATGATGACTGCCGTTATAAAGACTTACCGCAAACTGAGGGAATTAAAAGAGTCTTCGTAGTACTCGTTGAACAATTACCAGGGATATGGCAGAGGAAAAATAAAGGCCCAACTTACTCTGCCCTAAAGAATTTGAGCAATTGGCATAAAAGCAATATGAGTACATTGAGAAGAGAATCTAAAATGTTATATAATTAGAGAGAATCCAAACCAGATGAATTATCAGAGAAGACTCTGAATGAGAGAAGTAGGTTCTGTGACAGTCATCACCTTTCTAAAATCTCTTATCAGATTAAGGTAATACAATCAGAATTTTCTACATCCACTAAAGCTCAATAAAACACCCATTAAAATAGAACAATGTAAACCTTATTTGTCCATTACTGTCACAGCTCTCTGAAGCAAAAGCACATTTCCTCTGTATTTCTTTTTCTAAGGAAGAATGATAAACTTGCCATTTGAAGTTTAAACTCTTTTTAACACTCAAAGTTTCCTATTTATTTAACAAAAGGAACCTTTTATGGTTATTTATTTTTCTTTCTTTCTTTCTTTCTTTCTTTCTTTCTTTCTCTTTCTTTCTTTCTTTCTTTCTTTCTTTCTTTCTTTCTTTCTTTCTTTCTTTCTTTTTTTCTTTCTTTCTTTCTTTCTTTCTTTCTTTCTTTCTTTCTTTCCTTCTTTTTCTTTTTTTGTGGAGGGTTTTGCTATAGGGCGCGTGTGCTTGCCAGACAGACAGAGAGAGACAGAGAGACAGAAAGCGAGAAATCACCACCCAGGGGGGATGGCCACGCCACAATCCCTTCTCCATTCTCCTCTCAGAACTTGGGCACGCACACACATGTGCCCGGTGTGAGTTTAAGCCACTGGGTCTGGGACGCGAACTGTGGTCAACTACATGGGAGTCCAGCGACATAGCCATTACGCTAACTGCAGGTCCCA